AAGTTGGCCAATTTAACGCTTGCCAGGAAGTCAACGCGACGTATGCGCAATGCCATCAATGACATTGACAGCGCTGCCGTTGTCATTGTCATGGTTGTTGTTATTCCTGTTGTACTTATTGTTGTTGCTAGACAGCCACTAAAGGCAGATGCTATCGCCTGTCGCCTGTCGCCTCAGCATCCACAGCCACAGCCACAGCAGCAGCAGCAGCAGCAAGAACGACAACAACAAGAATAACCACAAAATGCGAAGCGAACGAGGAGGCAACATCATTAACATTTTTGTGCTTCAGCCAACGCCCAGCGCCTGCATTGGGACATAACAATATCCTTTGACGATATCCTGTAATCATCTCAATGAATTGACATTAGTTTGACATTGATAATGATGCGGTCTCTGGCAATAGCAACAACAAGCTTAGCTATTGAGATGTTGCTGGCTGATTGAGTTTCGATTTTTGAAGACAACGTTCATTGTATTTATAACTATATCAGGGGATGTGTAAGAGTATGTGTGTGCGTGTGCGTGTGTGTGTTTATATGCATCAAATGAAGAGCCCATTTACAACTACAGTCAAACTTATAGAAGTAGGAACCCAATGCATTGAACAATTTCGCTAGCAATGGGTCTTAGAAAGGTTCTAACCAGTTTTGCAACAATTATTTTGATTTGATAGGTTAAGGAATAGCTGCGATTATTATTAACAAGTTTATTATTGTTTCTTGTAAAACCTATTAGCACCAAACCTCGATGATTTCATAAGTGTTGCTTTGCATAGTTTATATTGTATTTGGTCCGACATTGGAACCCCGCCCGAAACGAATCGATGTAGGCATGTCCGTCTGTCTATCCGAGTCTTTGCAAGCAAGTCTATCCGCTTTAAATCTGAACAGATATGCCTTAGAAAGGATGTACTCGGATGTACTGTAAGCAGCAAAAGTAGATAAACATTTTGTTGGCTTTTATATTTATATTATTATTATATTATTTATAACCTTTTTATTTATTTCAGCGACAAACAAAGCTGTCGTTGTATAAAAAAATACAATAAAGAACTTAAAAGTAAAGAAAAATCAAAAATCACTATAAAATTAAAATTGCAATAAAAGATAAAAAGTAAATCATTATATAAAAAAAACACAATTAAAATACTTAAATAATAAAAGATAAAATATATTTAAAAGCTGAAGGTGGAGAATCACTGACCCGTTTGGGGGGAGGTTTATTAGTCAGTCCGACAAGCTATGCCCCTAACACAGCAGAGGTGATCAGTGATTCTGCCGGAGGTGGCTGAAGATACAAGAATTTAGTGAGGGGGGAGAGAGCTCACTTGAGATTAAGAGGTAAAAAGTATTACAATTAAAGCATAATGCTCGAAAAGGATTGTGCATGGCGAGGCAAAAAGTTGCTATTTAACCTGGAACGTACAATCAACCTGGAAGCTATATAGTAATCAATTTGTGGAGGAACAGAACACCAAGAACTATCCTACGATGAGTTGACGAAGGCAGGTTAATCAGCTTAATCAGTCTTTCAAAGCGGACAAGTAATTTTGGAAGTATATAGTGGAATTTGTTTAGGGCCGTAAATAGTGACCTCTTTACGAATTTCATGAATTTTAACTTTTCAGCCAACGTGTTCTTTTTTAAATCCTCACAATTTTGTAATCCTACCTCTATAGTTATGCTATACTTTACAGAAACTATCGGTCGAGTAATGAACTATTGTCACGTGGCACCATAAGATTGATAATACACCTAATTCTGTTTATAGACGGCCTTTTTTACACGATTTTGATATAAAACGGTTTGAAAATTAAAAATTGCATATCTATTTCTTTAGAGATAAGGAACCAATCACCTATTTTTGCATATGATCAATGCCTTCTTTTACACGGTTGTTTCAGGAACCAATCTACCGTGTTAAAACAGAATTAGGTGTATACTATAACAGACATATCTCACATTGTAGGAAGATAGATGTTGCAAAACTATTTGGACTTCTGCTATTGATCTGTAACAAAGAAGTTCTTGTTATTAATATGCTACTGTATGTGCCTATGTGTTGGAGACAACTATGCTGACACTTTCACTTGACTAACACGAGACTTGGTACATGGGACAAATAAGGCGACCAGAGGCCAAACACTTGCCACACATTTCAACTTGCAACTTGACTTTTCAATGTTTTTTACTTCCAGTGTGTATAGAGAGAACAGTTTTGTTGCTGTTGTTTTCATTGCTGGCGCTGCTGTTTTGTTGTGCTGTTATTGTTCTTGACTTTTGATCCCTGTTGCTGGTGCTGGTGCTGTGGCTGCTGCTGTTAGCGACAAGCAACATTAACGCCAACAACATGAACAGCAGCGAGAAACAAGTAACAAAGGCAGCTAACAATGGAAATAAGCTCACACACACACACACATGCCTGACACTTTTTGGCATTAATGTGAGTGCGTGTGTGTTTGTCTTTGTACAGACCAGCCAGTCAGCCAGTCAGTCAGGCAGGCAGCCAGCCAGCCAGCCATTGTGTGTGCCATTCCTTTTGTCTATGCGTCTGCCTTTTACCTCTTTGCGCCCTCATACTTACTTGGGTATGTCTGCGTCTGCTTTAGTGTCGCTTTCACTCACATGACTCTGTCATCGTCACTGTCTTTATTGTTATGTTGCTCCCGCTTCTTCATTTTGTCGCCACATCCATCTTCTTGTGCACAAAAGTTAATCATACGTATACACCTTTAGTAAATTCAGTGAAGCAATTTGTTGTGCACTTTAAAGGCAAAGCAAGCACCATGGCTAGGTTTGCATAAAAAAAAGAGCTACAACTTAAATAAGGGACTTTTTATTATGTTAAATAAACAACTGCATGTCTGTAACGTCCAGATATATTTATGATCAGCATAACCATGCTGTCCAATTGTCTGTCTGCCACAAATATTATTGAGATTGACGATTGCACAGACTTAACTCAACTAATTATTAACTGAGATTGGAGAACATAATTGATGGTCTGAGCACCAGAAAATAAAGAAGACACAAAGTATATTGATGCATTTCTTTACCTGAGACAAGCCCGTTTTCAAATTACCAGAAAATATTTTCAGACCGTCATGGTTCCTATGTATACTTATGTATAAATAACACGCAGTGTTGACTTTCTCCTTCACGGATAGGTGAGCCATACTCAAATGGCAGAAAGTGCTGGGCGCATTTCATTCATTTGCAATGATATGCCAAAGTAATAGCTGGGAAAAAGAACACAAACAAAAACAACTACTATAGAACAACAAAACAACAACAGCTGCAATAACAAGCCTCTTGTCGTTCGTCTTCGTGCTTGCATGTTGTTTTTTGTGTATCACATTTAAAAAATCGCTGCCAAAAATAACCAGCTAACTGACTGACTTGCTTTTGGCCCGCTGCATTTGGCTTGGCTGCTTCGCTAACTGTTGGTGTTGGCTTACCTTGCTTGCCTTTTGGTTGGCCCGCCTTGGCAGCCAAACACAAAATGTGCATGAGCAACATTTGCGTGGCTCAAGGTCAACATGCAACCTGCAACCTGCAACCTGCAACCAGCAACCTACAACTAATCACTTTTGGGTAACTGGACAGCTGAGAATGTTTCCAGCTAGCGCTTTAGTTTAAGCACAACTCTGCTTTACCCAATGTCTCAAAGATAATCGTGGAATATTTGCAAGACTTTCTTTCCTTTATTCTATTCAATAAACTAAAAGACGCATTTCCAAAATGAAAATACAACAAATGTTACTTCATTTTAGCCAATTTAAGAAGCAATTTTTATAAAGCAAAAAGTTAAATCTATAATTGGGTTCAACACGGGAAAGATTTGTGGCAGCTTTAAATTAAAAATATCGTATATACGCTGTTGAAAAAATTACAAGTTGGATTTTTCTTATTCTTTTTTGTTTCGGGATTTCACAAATATTAAAAGTATGCAATGAACATACCGTCCTCCAATTCTCAATACAAGGCCACTTGTCAATTTAGTAGCTCCACAGATACCCTGATTATTGCTATGTATATTAAAGCATAATTTTAATTGTCTTAATTTTTATTTAATTTTGTTGATCAGCTTCAAAATCTTGCCTTGATTAACTCATTAGAACGTTTACGTTTTTTAAAGCCTCATAATCAACACGAAATAAGAATTATAAGGAGCTAAAAAAAAAATATTTTCGCCTATGCCGAAGCTATAGAATATTTACTGGGTCTTACAAATACATACGAATACTCGTACTTACAGTTTCCATGCTATCTTATATTTTATTAGAAAGTATTTTAACTTTTTTGCATTTGGTTAACCATGCAACAGAAATGAATAACAGAAAATTGTGGTATTTTAAAGAGTAAATCACATGTTTACTTTAACACACAACGATTATTTTCATAACTTTTTTACATTTTACTAAATTATGATATTTTACTAAATTACGTACAAAGAGCTTGTTACGTGATATGGACAAATTGACACTAATTGGTCAACATATGAATTTCAATCGATTGCAAAAAGACTTACAAAATAATTCATTTATATTAAATTGAAACCGTAGCTTAAATTCAGGGGCCTATTCGAATGACATTGTTGGGCATGTGTTGCTGTAAAACCGCAAAGCTTTCACACACTCGCTGACTGGCCACACATACACATACGTACGCGGAAGAAATTTGAATATGTACTTGTATAGTACACACATACGAGTAGAATGTACTTGTATATAGTATATGTGGATATGCATACTAGCAATAATTTGTGTGGATTTGCATAATTTAGCAACAGCTGCGAACGACGCGTCGTTGGGTATAGCTGGTAGCTGGTAGCTGGTAGCTGGTAACTGGCAGTTGGTAGTTGGTGGCTGTTCGGCCATGCGTTGAGTGGCATAATTAACAGCCATTCGATTACGCAGTGAAAAATGCGATGCGAGGCACGCGCGGCTGGCTGGATGGCAAGCATTTTCGCTTTAGCGCCTTGAAGCATGCAACACCATGGCAACATTGGCATTGCCGCCTGCCTCGCTGCCCTGCACCACCTCGCTGCCCTTCACCACCTCGCAGTATGCAAGTAAATAACTGCCGAGCTGGGTTGCGGCTGCCTGTCACTTTGGCTTGAGTGCAACAGAATCAGAAGTAGAAGCAGAAGCAGAAACAGAAGCAGCCGCAACATCAAGTGCAAAAGCGCGCAGCTGTCAAGTGACACAGACACACACCCAACGCCTACTCTCACATGTTTGAATATGTATGTATGTGTGTGTACATGTGTGTGTATGAATGCAAAGTAGCGCGAGGGCGCGACTGAGTTGCCATATAAGTAACGAGTTTGGGGACCACTGGGCAACGAGCGGCGGCACTAATGGCGTCAGCAATAGCGCTAAGGCACTCTCACACACACACACACACACACACACACAAACACACACAGATTCACAAAAAAAAAAAGAAACCAACAGCAACAACAAAGTCACAGTCAGGCATATTCATTCACAGCTTTTCGCAGCTTGAATGCCGTTTGTGACGTCAGACCCGACTACATCACAAAAGGCAACGCGCACAACACACACACACACACACACACCTACACAGCTGCACAATTGCATTACGCTCATAGCTAACATTTAGTGGTTGATGTGGCTCTTGTATCCAGCCATCGAATTTGGGGAGGTGCATGTGCTTCTGTTTGCTTCTGTGCTCGACAAATTTCGATTTCAACAATGAACTTGAACTTATTGCCATGTTCGCGCTGACAATGCAGGCGCCCCTATGCGTATGCAGCACAAAAATTTGTTAGCTTGCACCTCTTGTGTTGTCGGAGAGCCCCACCCACAGCCGATTGCCCCCACAAACACCATCACACACTTGCTAAGGGCCTACACACATGCCTCTCACTTGACACTTCCGAATGCCGCGGGCAAACAACAACGCCATCACACACACACACACACACTCACACACACACACACACATCACACATCACATCACATCATCACCTCATACGCACCCTTTTTGTTTTGCTAAATTTGATGAGTCTCACTCAGAGAAAAGAAAGGGAGTAGGGTGAGAAATTGCAGTAAAATTACAGTTAATTCCGAAATATCTCATCATCTATTACATGGCAAGGGCACTTACAAGTATTTTTAATCAAACTCATCTGAGTTCGAATCGAATTACTTATTCTATTACCCGATTCGTTTTTCCATTAAATGCAATATAATTTAAAAGAGTGGAACTGCATATTTCTGCCAATAATCGTGCTAAAAGCTAATACTAATTACCATTATTATTTCCTATTAACTGGTTTACTAAGTATACTAGATGAATAACTTAAGAACCGAACTATTTATTTTAAAATTCGTATAGCTTTAATCTACTTAAAAAATTTACACATTGACATCAAAAATTAATTATTTATAGTTAGTTGCAATAACACACAGACAAGAGTTCTCCTTCTTCATAAACTTAACATTAAATTAAATTAACATATAATCACGAACTCATAAGATTGCCCTTTGATTCAATTTTGCGAAATTTAAATGCAAGCGAAATGTTTGAATTCAAAAATAAATGGACTTCGTTATTGAAATATGTTGCTCATTGTTACTTGAAAGCTACACCTTTTTCCATCTTCAACATCTACTCTTTTTTTGCAATTCCCTTAAATTTACATTTGGTATATAATTCCTTCTCTTCTTTGTATGTGGACTGTATTTCCTATTGGTTATTCCTTCCCTCCTTCCTATCGCACTAATCCTTGCCAGCTGCTTGCAATATTTATGGGCTGTCTTGTGTTTCAGCGACCCTATTTTCTTGGACTCACTTGTGCGTATACTAATATTTATCTTATATACGTCATATGACGTTTTTGTCTGTGTCTGATTTAAAAAAAAAGGGAACTGCATTCACTTGACAATTTACATTTTACATTTCCCCATTTAACAATACCTTTGAATATTTTTATTTTAAATATTAGTGCAAACAATATTTTTCATCAATCCGTGAAGTGTGTTACAATTACTTAATTAATTTAAATTTTGACTATAACAAAAACGCGTTTTAGGCAGCAACATGGAAAAACAGACTGCACAAGTATTTTGTTTTTCATTTTAATTGATTTCAAGGAAAAAAAAAGGGAACTGCATTCAATTGACAATTTTCATTTTACATTTCCTCATTTAGCAATACCTTTGAACATTTTTATTTTATTGTTTACATCATTAAACAATATTTTTCATCAATCCGTCAAGTGTGTTACAATTACTTAATTAATTTAAATGTTGACTATAATAAAAAGAAGGTAAATTGAAAAACAGACTATAGAAGTATTTTTTTATTCATTTTAATTGTGTGAATAAAAAAAATGGACGAATATTCATTTAATTTCGCATTTTATTTTGTACTCGCTTTTTTTTAGAGTGTATTTTCAGTGGCCGCCGCTGCCTTCTCAGTAACTGCCACTTCTCATGCATTTTTTCATCTACAACACTGCTTCTTCTGCCTCTGCTTCTTCTTAATTTTCTTCTTCTTCTTCTTCTCGTTCACGTGCTGCTTTAGCTTTTGATTGCATTGCATTTGATATGCTCTCTGTCTGCACTTTGCGTTGGCATTTTTATTGTCACCGTCTTTTTTACACTTTTTTACTTTTTTTTTTTTTTTTGATTAACTGGGCAGGGCAGAACGCACTCAATGCATGCATAAGCAGCATTCCAACACACACACACACACACAATTGCGCACACACATGAATGCATGTACGTGTGAGCAACGACTGGACCCTTGTGGGTACTGAGAGGAGCAAGCGATGCGATGCGATGCGATGGGATGCTGTCGCAGTGCAGGCAGTTCAAGGCACTTGGTCAATTGATGTCAACTGGGGCAACCACCGAGCGTCGAGCTCGAGCTTCGAGCATCGAGCATCATAAATCGGGCATGGGGCGAGGGGGGACGCTCTCGAAATGTTTGCCAGCGTATTTGCATAAATATGCAGCTCTGCCAGCTCTGGCTGCTCTGGCAGCTGTGGAAAGTTTTTCTATTAATTGGCCCGAAAATCAGACATGGAAAAAGCTCATAAATTTGCTTGGCCATGCTTAAATACTTTTGCAACTCTCGATGGCGGAATTGGACGCTGGGTGGGCTAAAAATAGTTGAAAGTGTTGAGCGCGACGATTGTGTAGAACAAGTATGTATTTGTGTGCGTCGCCTTTTTGCCTTGACCGGCATGCATTGACACACACACACACACACACACACGCACACACACACACGCACAGGCACACGTTGACAGTCCGATAGTCGCACAGAGTTCATAAAAGCGCGCAAACTCAATAATGACGCTGAATGCTGATGATGATGCTAACGACGACGACAACGACGTGACACGAGACACAAACACAAACACAAATAGACTCAATGGCACATACACTCGCATACATACATACGTACACACGTATACCATATAGTATGTATATTGTGTACTCAATGGCGCAGTGCACGCTTCTGTTTGTTGGTTTGCTTTCATTGCATGATTTAAGGCGCGTGCTCTGTCCCAAGTCTCGGGCATCAGAGACCAATGCTTAGAGCATCCTGCGCACTGACTTGTCACGCTATAAAATCAGACAGTTCAGTCATTGGGGAAATGAGAAATCTCCAACTCACTTGACAATACACACAATCAAAATAAAAATACGATACTGCCTTTATATGCAGAATTTCACAATTCAATTCATATTTGCGAAACATATTTCCATTCCTATTAATATCATACTTGTATCCATTTATATTTAGCCGCTTACCTTACTTTTCGAGCATAGTTTCGAGCATGTTATTTGTAGAAATTGTAAGAAAACTGGAAATTATCTGCTTATACATAGTCAAGTGCAGATTAGCTACGAAAATAAAAACAACTGAGTGTCATGTTGAGCCTATTTTTATAGAATAAAACATATTAACTGTAGTGCCTCTGTTAAATAACTGTAATTAAAACAATGGATTTGTCTTTTTTGATTAACAAAATAACTTATATTAATAGAAGCCTAAAAGGTCGACTTATATTTATTTAAACTATTTTTAAATGTAGCCTTTGCTAAGATAGTTAAAACCGTAGAAATTGCTTAATCCAAGCCTGAAAAAAGGACTAGCCGAAAAAGAACAACTACGAATCTAATGAACTCCACAATTTGCTTGATAAATATAAGTCAAAAATAAGTCGAACACAAAGCATACTAGTATGTAGATAATCGGCCATATACGACTGTGGCTTCAGCTCGCGATGCTGACCAAGAATAAAAGTATAGGTATATACGAAAATTCATTTTGTAAATACCAGAGTTTAAAGTTCAATACGTTACATACAAAATCCATGCAAAAGTCAAAAGTCGTGGTTGCAGAACCACTTTTCAAATTTTAATGTCATTTCACATTTTATTTGTTGACACCGAACATGAAATATTTGCGCATTGTATCCATAAACAAAATATGTACATGTATTCTTAATCAGCATGAAACAAATCTATAGATGTCCATCATTTCATCTGGTTGTCTGGAAACAGCAAACAACCCACAACTTATAATGTTAACTTTGCCAATCGAAAGTTTTGTATGCTCCCCGCTCCTCCCACTCTGCAAATTTCATCAATACAGTCAACAATTCCAAAACTACATGAACTAAAACTTTCACAACAAATTATATAATCGGCTAATCGTAAGAGAACTTCTTAGCAAATCAATTCAACGCCCCCAGCCTTCGACAGTGGTTTTCTTGTTTCTTGTTCTGCTTCTTGTTCGCTTCTGCTATGCGTGTGTATCGCAGCTCATATAAGTTGCAGAGCGGCGGAGAGGTTGTTGGGAACAGATTATTTCACACTCGAGCAGTATTCTCTCTTGTACTTATTAATATTAAATATATTTCGCTGTTTCCGTTGGCGCTCTTCGCACTGAAGAATCAACTACTCGCACACTCAGTGTAAGAGCGCTTATAAGTTTGAACGTACATTTCGTTGGAAAGCATTGGCCTTGAATTGGGCCTAAAGTGCCAATGTGAAAACGGATTGCAGTCGAACTTAAAGTATTTTAAGTTTATTTTATTTTGTGCCAATTACTACGAATAAATGAAAAGCTTTAAGGAAACTTATTTTTTAAACAATTAATAACTGGTGCTGAAATAATGCATGCTGCATTTATTTTATTACATACCTGACCTGCTGCCGACAACACCAAAAGCAACAACAACAACAACTGCGACGAGGACGACAACGAAATGCGGAAGCGGTGCCTTTAAATAGGTCGACTCGGGTATATACCTACATACATACTTGTATACATATATATTCGCTGCGTCGGCCGATGTGCCGATGTGCCGATGTGGCCCCAAAACTGCAGTGGCTGGCGGCATCAAAAAGCAACAGAATGACGTCATAGCCGTGTTGACTAGGACAAGCAGGGTGCCGCTGACCTATATACACACACACACACACACACACACATTTATATACATACATATATATAGTATATAGTATTTACAGAACAAGTTCGGCAGCATGCAAGCGCTCTTAGAGTGCACATGGGCAAGCATTCGGTCTGTCAGTCAGGCATGTAGTCAGTAAATCATTCATTCAAACTAGCAAGCAGGCTGGCAAGCAGGCAGGCAGCAGGCAGGCAGACAAGCGAGACAAACAGACATTTACATAGATAAACACAAACAAGTAAGCGCCATGGCGGTGACGGCGGCCTCCTCTGCATGTGTTGGTGCACATATATACACCAATAGCTATATAGTTCTATATATGTAGGTAGGTAGATGTGTGCTCCGCATTTGGGCGATATTTGGGGGCGTGCGACTGCATTTCGTTTACACAACTCCAAGCTTAGCTATTTTCTGATATTTCCAAGCGAATGAAATGCATTTAATTTCATTGCATATTGCCTTTATGTTGTTCGATGGCAACTACTTGATAACTGAACAATATACTATACTTGTATGTAAGTCGAGCGGGCGCTATACTTATGTACACAGCATTATGTATTAAGCACACAGGTGCATAGGGAAGGAAGCATACATACCTACTTGTATGTACAGCATAAACTGTGAAGCTGCGCATAAAACTCGCTGCTGCTGACGTCACGCGCCCTGCAATATGCAACAACAAAACAGACGGCAGCTCTTGAAAAACAATTAGTGACAGCGGCCGGGCCGTTCCAAGCCATGCTTCACCAAGGCCAGCATGTGCATACCTACTTGCATGCAAATTTAATTATGCCTGTGAATATTTCATTTCAAAAATGTTGCTAAATGCGAAATGCTCGATTCTCTGCGTGAATTCCATTCAGATGCTGATGCTCATCAAGCATGCAATTATGTGCATATGGAAGAGCATGTATGCAGCCGCTCAATATTAAGCAATTATTGCAGCACACAAGCAAGCCGACAAGCAGGCAAGCAGGCAAGCAGACACACCGATAGACAGCCAGCCATGCACTTACACGCTTAATTAAATGCATCACCAACAACAAGAACAACAACAACAACAAAGAAAACAAGAAAAAACGCACCGTGCGCTCAAAAGCAGGCAACGTGCCATGTCTTGGCACGCTTCCCAAAAATGGCCGCAAAAACCAACATCAGCAATAACAACAACAACATAACATTACTACAATGAAGCAACAGCGATAAAGGGCGTAGAATCGTGTGGGCGCCTGTAGCTGGTCGCATAAAATCCTTTGCCGCCATTTTGGGCGCATTGCCAATGGCTGTTCGTCTTTTTTTCCTTTTACTTTTGTACGTTCTCGTGTATGCATGTTTGTGTGGATGGATGCCTTAATATATGTGATTGTAATACAATTTCAATTACAAGTGTAAACATATATTGCCTTCCTCATGGCTCTTGGCTCTTGGCTCGGTCACATTGTAGGCGGTCCTCCATGAGTGTTGGGCTCGCTAGCACATTAAATTTAAGTTTAAAAAATACAACTACTAGGAAAAATGTATGTAAATAAATTACTTAGATATAAGACTATTCAATATAAATTAATTACTTGGAGGGATGCAGCCTAATATAGCAATCAATAAAAAATAACAGATATATGAAGGTCAATTTTCCTTATCGATTAAGCGAATTTTCTTTGAAAATGTCTCCAACTCTGAACCTTTTTTTTTTGACGCATATAAAATGTCCAAAGATATGGATTTTTAGAAATTTAAGAACATTACCATTCCAGCTTTCTTTCGTTAAAGGCTTCAAAGCTTTAAATATTCTTGCCCGATGTCATCGACCGTTGAAATGAGAATCAATAAATTAAATGTTGCCAAAAATGCAGTTGCAACTTATTTCTATCCAATATCTGATAATGTGAGTCAAGGATTCATGTAATGAAGTACTCGTATTGGACATGGTCTTTAGTATTTAGTGGTGATTTACCAAGAATTAAACGAACCCAACTAAGAAAGTATTTTTTGCTTTTTCTCGTCCACAGGTCTTTGCCCAAATTGAGCAGTCAAGACGAAGAAGGGGGGGCTGGTCATGGCTTTGGTGGCGGACCACAACACTTTGAACCCATTCCTCACGATCATGATTTCTGCGAGAGAGTCGTTATAAATGTATGTACAATATCTTATATATATTTTTGAAAAATGCATTGTGCAATTTATTTGTTTGCTCTGACTAATAGGTAAGCGGGTTAAGGTTTGAAACACAACTACGTACGCTAAATCAATTCCCTGACACACTACTTGGGGATCCAGCTCGGAGATTACGGTACTTTGACCCGCTGAGAAATGAATATTTTTTTGACCGTAGTCGACCGAGCTTCGATGCGATTTTATACTATTATCAGAGTGGTGAGTCTAATAGTTCTATAGCATTCGACACCACCGCGTCCCACCACAATATGCTTACAAACATCATGCTAAACATACAAGTATATATACAAATTAATGTGCACTACTCTCTCTCCCTCTTTAACTCGTACTCGTGCGATCATATTGTTTGGAACACCAATTCTAACGTTCAAAACTTTTCTCTTCTCTTTTTACTCCAAAACTATCAAAAACTCATCATGCAATCTATATCTACATCAACGATCGGCGAATCCAACGACAACAATATTTTCAAAACATTTCAATCATGACCTCTTCACATCCGTCGCTTGTCATTCGCCCCCGTCCATCATAATGCTGCTTACATCTTTCTCTTCAGGTGGCCGACTACGGAGACCGGTCAATGTCCCTTTAGACGTATTTAGTGAAGAAATAAAATTTTATGAATTAGGTGATCAAGCAATTAATAAATTCAGGTAAGCGTGTTGCCCATACAAATAAAAGCAAGCAAATAAATAAAACAATTTAAACAAAAATCCAAAATAAATAAGAATCAATCTAAAAAACAAACAAACATTAAACGAATGCAAGCTAAAAAAAATGAAGCAACAAATTGGTTTGGTTTATTGGTAGCAGCAAAATACCAAATAGAATAGAAATGTTCAGCAATTGTAAAAGGCATGCAACACGCGCACGCAGACTGAGACAAATCACATCCACACGTGACACGAGACACAAGACACGACACACGCAGACAGAGATAAACATTCATCTAAGCAAAACCCACATAACCAACTCAAAACATAAGCGCGAATGGTTTAAATTTGTTAATTTATTTAGTTTCAAGAAAAAGCCCCTCGAAATATAACTAATATTCATACACTATATATTCCGAAACGGATTTCCCATCAAATTAAAAGCAGCATAATTTAAATGTCTACTTTGGTTAAGCACTCATTTAAAGCAACTAAAGCACAAATAAATTAAACCAACAAACTAAATGCATTTATAATTCACGAGAAATCCTAACGCTTTTGATTGATCCCAATTGAAGTGCGTGCATCTGAAAACAAATGAGACAATTCATACCTCACTGAATGCACATTTTAAATTTAATCTCTTGGATTTTAATCCTATTCCCCATCCCCTCCCTTTCTGCAGGGCTCACAAATAATTGTTTTTCAAACCTAGACAAACTTTACTCCCCTGTGTAAAATGTAAAATATTAGTTAACAATCAATTTGAATTTAAGCAGAAAACATAAAAGAAAACTATTGAGCGCTTATAATGAACAATGCGTTTATTCATTGTTGATGTTAAATTGTTTACCATGCATACATATATATTTATAATCTTATTATTACTCAAAGTTTACGATAATTACGTTAAATATTCAACTGCACTTAGTTCAATAGAGGTGAATGTTTGTGTTTCGAAATTCACGAAATATATATTACTTTAACAAGCGCAAAACGCTCTTACGCTCTACTATATATTACGATAAGAACAAAAAACAAAAGACACATAGACATAGACACGCACACACATGTACACGCAAGCTGACAACAAACCGACACAACAGAAACAGAATTATGAGAAGCGAATACGGCCAATTGAAAATGGATTCGCATTAATAACTTGACCACCAGCTTAAAATTTTGTTCATACGGCAGAGAGGGGGCACTGTGGCCGGCCCCGTTAAGTGCATCTCACGGCAAGTCCTGGCAAAGGAGAACCTAAAGTGCCGTTAGAGGAAACGGCGAGCCCCAAACTACAATAGCGTGAGGCCGATCGAATGTCGAGAATGTCGATGCATCCTATACTGTAATACTTATCCAAAATATACACACCTACATACTCTATATATATCTACTTATATACTCGTATACACATACCTACAACACACACACACAACTCAAACTCAAACCCAAACTCAAACTGAAAATAACAACAACACCAAATACACGCCATTTTTGCAAGTTGCGCGTGCGCTTTTACTCTTCGGTTGGCAACGTTATTTTGATTAGCGCTTAGTGTTTTAATATGATACTTTTATGGAATTTGTTGCTATGTTTAGTGTAAACCATTGGCCGCCACATATGCAGTAGCTGCCTTTGAAGTTGCTCGTGCAGCTTAAACCAAAACCAACGCAAATTTTGCTTAAAACAGTTCAAAATAATTATGCAATTATATAAAGAAGTAAATTTAAATATAAATTTAATACAATTGCCTACACATTATTTAACATATTTATACGCCCTTCTCTTTTCCCATATACCCATGCGCATGCAGAGAGGATGAAGGCTTTATAAAAGAGGAAGAAAGACCATTACCGGATAATGAGAAACAAAGAAAAGTCTGGCTGCTCTTTGAGTATCCAGAGAGTTCACAAGCCGCCAGAGTTGTAGCCATAATTAGTGTATTTGTTATATTGCTATCAATTGTTATATTTTGTCTAGAAACATTACCCGAATTTAAGCATTACAAGGTGCGTACTACACTATACCTGTTCTCACATGCAACCACACATTTATGCATGTCTCCAATTATTTTCACCAATATAACATACACCCCATATGCTGTTCTTTCACATTCTCTTGCAGGTGTTCAATACAACAACAAATGGCACAAAAATCGAGGAAGACGAGGTGCCTGACATCACAGATCCTTTCTTCCTTATAGAAACGTTATGTATTATTTGGTTTACATTTGAACTAACTGTCAGGTATGGAACAAAAACAAAAACTAAAACAACAACACCTTCATCTTGACTTTAATCAACAGTAACAAATTAGTAATTAAGTGAGAGAGATCAGTGTTAGTAGTGATGGGAAAGATACACTCAGAGAAAACAATTTTTTTTCATCCGAAATCCAAGTAACACAAAATTCGAAATTTACTTAATTTCCTTAAGTATCGTTAAACTTAAGAAAATACCGAGTACATTTTTTTTTAGTTCGAGAAATTCGCGATTTTAACAGCAGCTCGTTCTCAATGGATGACAAGACACGAAAGTACGAAAAGTACTTCGAAATATTAAGCACAAATGGCCCAAAATCCACCCCAATGGGTGTCGAAATTTTCGCTCGATTTGTCCCCTGAAGAAAACAAAAGCACATTTAAAGAATATTACATTATATTATATTGAATTTTGATTCTAAGCAGCTTATAGATAAGGAGGAAAATCCATTTAGTAAATTAAACTGTTCGTTTTTTTATAGAATATCTATAATTTTTAAATCTCCATATGCCATTACAAGCATTACATGAACCATCATTGATCATTAGCTGATTTCAAAATAAATGTCACTCCACGTTTCTTTGGAGTGGCAGCAGTAAAATATTAATAGAGTAGAAGAGTAGAAGTTGTATTATACTACAAATATTGTTTGAGCCCTCACTCACTTTTAAACTCTACCAATATGTTATGAATATGTTATTTTAACTCTCCCACTCTTTCTCTCTCTCTCTCTTTCTCTTTCTCGCTTTGGCTCTCTTTGCCCTGCCTCATCTGTTTTTGTTTTTTTTTTTCCGTTATGGTGCCGTTTATTCCAACGATTGCAGGTTCCTCGCATGTCCGAACAAATTAAATTTCTGCAGGGATGTCATGAATGTTATCGACATAATCGCCATCATTCCGTACTTTATAACACTAGCGACTGTCGTTGCCGAGGAGGAGGATACGTTAAACCTTCCAAAAGCGCCAGTCAGTCCACAGGTATGAGATTTTTGTTTGGCCAAGCGGTATACTTATACTACATATGCGTACAAGCTACTATATACTTGTATACTACACACAACTACACCCACACACATCCACACACAAATAAACAGCTGCATATACAATAACGCGTGCAATAACTACACACTGTATGTGAGCATTACAGCTAAATCATGTACTTCTGCCAATTGCCAAACATTATTTTGATTTCCATATAAAGATAAATTGCCTGCATTTAGTTTTATTCTTTTTATTTTCAAGTATAAGCAGCGTAAATTAAACAAAATGTAACATATTGTGCAATATGTGTATATTTCTATGATTTAAATGGCCCGATTTGTGACCGATTCATTTTATTTTATTTTTGATTTAATTTGATCCTTTGTTTACTCTTACTGCCGATTATATCTACACTTTTAATGCTATACTTACTAATACTAATCATTGTTGTAAATGAATACTAACAAACAAAAAAAGAAAGAAACACGCAAACAAAAATACAAATAACCCACTTACCTCTAACACCGCTCCTCTTAAACACTCTAATCTATACTTGTACTTATTACATAAACTTACATGCTCTACATATATACAAATATCAAAAATTATAAATTTTTAGGACAAGTCATCGAATCAGGCTATGTCCTTGGCAATATTACGAGTGATACGATTAGTTCGAGTATTTCGAATATTTAAGTTATCTAGGCATTCGAAGGGTTTACAAATATTAGGACGAACTCTGAAAGCCTCAATGCGGGAATTAGGTTTACTTATATTTTTCTTATTTATAGGTAAGTTACAACTGCAACAACAACAACAACCAACCAAACAACCATTTATTTATATATACATATATTCTATACAAAAATATATAACTTTTTTACACCCACACACACGCATATAGTATATATATAATATATATAGATATATATATATACTCGTATATATATAATATATGTATATATGACTGTGCCAACACAATACTACCTACCAAGTAAAAAAGAGACGACAAACTACTCGTATATACGACACCAACTTGTGCCTCTTGGGTTACTTTTTTTTGAATCAATATTCTACCAGAATTTTGGTAAAAAAGACTGACTAAACTGCTCGGTGACTGCAAGACTGTGCCAACAACTTAACACTAAATACAAGTTGCAACAACAATAACAATACCCGAGTACAAAAACCACGATAACGATTTGTTGCTTACGTGTAGAGGGTTTTTTTTCATTTAACCACCTTAAAACAACAACAAAAGATACATACAAATATCCATATATATACCTATAGATATATAATTATGAAATGGAAAATTTTCTTTTAGGTACAAACAAGAAAGCACATTTCACTTTAAATCTCATCATTTTTTTGAATACCAAGACCCTCCAACCCACCAACCAACCAACCTCTCATTACCAAAGCAAACAAAATCAACTTAAACAGCAACAAATGTGTTTGATTTTGACAACGTTAGAAACTACAACAACCCCAACAACAACAATTAAAATACTAAATATATATATATAAATATCAACGTTTTATGCTTTTTAACCATTTTTGATTTTTCATCTAATTTAACAATATACAATGAAGAAAAAATGTGAAAACATGAGCTGGGCTTGCAACAAAAGGGAAGAACAGCAACAAATGAATAATTATATGGAGAAACTTTTAATGGTTTTTAAAACATAAGCCTCTTTTCTTGCAAGGTCACGCCACAGTCTCTAACACGAATACAGTCTCAACATAATCTATACAAATTAAAGTATATGCCACAATTACGATAAAACTATAGGTATTTATACCTATGTATGTAGGTCTCTTAAGATGCACAGGAACTGCAAATAAATTTCAAACAGTAAAAAACAAAAACACGTAACTAGCAAAGTAATCAAGTAAAGTATAGTACGATTAGTTTATGCTAAATAATATTGCAATATACAGTTGAAATCGCTTATAACGACATTCAAGGAAACTTTTAAGCGATTTATTTTAGCAAATTAAACTAAGTATTAAATTAAACTAACCAATATATGTCGTTATAAGCGACTTCGACTATATTACGTATACGCCCCCACCGCCCAAATACCAACCAAGTCAACAGCTAACATTCAAATAGCAGCGAAAGTAAACAACGTAAGCATACATACTCTTTAAACTTAATAGTTACATTATGTATCAATATAATCGTGCCACCTACCACCACAACAAACAGTCAATTCTTGCAATCTTTTAATCTTATCTAACCTAGTAAAATCAATTAAAAAAATTAAAAAATATGGAACATATTTAGACCAAATAGGCGCCTGTAGAGCGCAATTAACTACTGATATACGCTATCTATCTATTAAGGCATTAGATACATAGATAGATAAATAGATAGATAGATAGATACATACTAGTATGTATGTGCGACTATAATATATATAAGCGAGCCAGACAGTCGTAATCGCGGCGTTAGTTATAGTATTAGTAACATCGATTGTATTACGTGTCATATTTACGGTATTTCTAGTTTGTAAAGTTCGAGAACTTTTTTCAACACCATTAATTTTTTGGCTAGAAAACGACCAAAATGTCAATTTACTCGAATTTTAGTCTATTGCTCCTGATATACTTTGACAGAGTAAAAACACAATTTATATGGTTTTTATGTATGCCGCGCATAGTCGTTGGCAATTTTAAGGCCCTGACGCATTTTGTGGCAAATGACGAATTACAACGTTAATGTTGCGCCCAAAACTTCCAGCTCTTCAACTATTTTCATTTCCATGGCACACTCTGAACTCTAAGCTCTGTGTATAACTCTGCCTGCAAATATATCCATAACATATCTACAGTTCTGTCTATAACTCTGTCTACCTCTCTGTCTATTAATCTAACAATAATTCTACCTACCCCTCTATTTTTCTCTTACTCGCTTTGTTTATCACAAACTCACAACTTCCACAACTGTATGCTATCTAACAGAAACTATATCTATATCTACCACATATTTAATTATATACATACTCGTATATACTTGTATCTATGTAAGTGCTCAGGTCGTTGCACAAACTGCTCACAAATAGCCTTAAAATTGGCAATCTTCTATGCGATAAATTGTCCAACAATATAAATGAAATGCAAACAAACCAAATAACAGCAAAAAAAATATATATTTAAAAAAAAAAACATAAATATCTGTATACAATATCTATCAGTTTTGTATTGTTGTTCACGTTTTAACATGTTCAAGTTGTTTGTAACCGTAACCGTAATCATAATCGTAATAGTAACCGTAATCGTAACCGTTGCCTCGTCTACGTCGTCTTTTTGATGTCCACGTTGTGCGTCGATTTTGATTTTGGCTTTTAGTTTATAGTTTACATTGTTGTTGTACTATCTTTTGACTAATTACCGTATACTATATACATACATACTTGCAATAAAAATGCAGTTTTCTGAATTCTGTTTTCATTGATTGCTTTTTGTTTTCGTCTGTTCGATTCATTTCGTGTTTTGTTTCGTGTTTAAAATAAAAATATATATTACTAATCTACCGCAGGCTAGTTACTCATTAGCGCCTGCCATATGACTATATGTATAAATACCATAACTAAATATTTCTATATACATATAAGCAACGTCTATGTATTGTATAAAGCATATACATACCTATACATAAATGCACCCAACTAAACTGTACTAACTTAGCATAGTGTAGCCTTAAATTCTTAAATTCAAATAACAGAAATTCAAAACACAAGGAACGACCGATAGTTCAAGACGAGTTAACATGAATCGAGAAATATGTGAAATATTTAATCAATCAATGAGAAGCACCAACGTTATTAAATTGATCAATATCTCGAAATTCCGCTATTTTTTTTTTTTTTTTCGAAACCTTTGAATTTGTTTTAGAATTGTTAACTCGTTTCATTGAACTTGAACTAAATAACCCAAAGTTTATAACTCTTTTGTTCCAATTCTTGTTTTCATTGAATTTTTCTGTATTATTTGTCTTGCTGTAGTGTAGTATATATGTATATCTATGTATATACATGTAAACAAAACCAATATATATATACTCATATGTACTCGTATATATAAATATATATATCGTATTGTATAAAGTACTCGTACATAGCTAGTTCCATGTTTATCTGTGAAAGTAATACATATAATATATAAAGCTCGAATCTACAATACACAATGACATATAGCATACATATCTAATGGCATTACTAACCCAGGTAAAGCGAGTGATCCCACACGGGAGCGCCAAAAGCCAAAAGCAACCTCATTACGGATTTTGCTCAACTTTTGCCCCTGTATACACATATACATAATTGGATGCTGCGCCAAATGTTCTAGAATATGGAATCATATCATAAATCGGGTGGTCCGTACTTAAAATACGCCCAAAAGTATGCCACAACATTTTAGAACTCTGTGAACATTTGCCAAGCAATTTTGTGACTTCGGCTCCACCAAGCCACGAAGCCAAGATTCGACACTAAAACCAACTTACGTTCAAACATGTTTTCGTTTTATTCAATTTGTAATATTTTGCGCTCTATTTGTAATAAACACATACACACATACACTCTCACTAAATGTTATCCCCCAAAACATCATAAATACACTCCCATAAAGAGAACATGCCATGTCACTTATTTCCTAACTTCTCGTATCTTAAAACTACTTTGAGACTTTTTCTTTGTCTACATGAAATTTTTGTTACACCTCTTTATAGTTTTTGCACAACGAAAAAAAATATATATATCTTTGAAATAGTTTTATGAAATATATGATTTATTAACAAATCATATATACTTATAAAAAGTACTTTTCAATAACAAAATCTTTCTACTAGTTTTATGTATAGTATATCTTGTAGTTGTTTTAAATAACAAAGAAACTTCATGGAACTCGATGCTGTCGACAACCCCCCACCAAAAGAAGCAACCACTTGCAACTTACACATCTTGTATACGTACACTGTCCACGTGGGTCGTTGTCGCCATTTTATTTTCATTTGTATCAACACCTATGTTAACGTCTTGTCTACACACACACACACACACACACACACACACACACACACAAACACACACACACATATATATATACACATGTTCTAAACTCTGTCGTGTATGTTATTTTATCTAATATTGTGTTGATCAAGCATTTATCGATGTGTCGCTGTATGAAGGTATGAAGGCGGCCTTCGTATGAGAATCAGACAGCAAAATACCAAAATATGGAACATATATATTCCCAAGCAGAAAAAAGAAAAAAGAAAAAAGAAAAATAAGAGGAAATACCAAAAGACAATGGTGCAACACACACGTGCCAATAATAATTGGAAACACTTTACAGCATTTTTAATTATTTGTGTAATCAACTCAATTTAATTATGCCTGATCTTTGTTAGGCGTGGTACTATTCTCGTCGGCGGTTTATTTTGCGGAAGCTGGCAGTGAGAGTTCCTTTTTCAAGTCCATACCCGACGGCTTTTGGTGGGCTGTTGTGACCATGACTACGGTGGGATATGGTGATATGAGGTACAACTTACATTACAAACATTTAAATCAATTGACTACATTGTACTACGCTGCCCATAGCCTACTAACTAATTAAGAGATAATACTATTTGCAACTACTACCTGCTAAATGTAATATAACACTACCGTTGTCTCTTCTACTTATTGTTCTTTGTGTTCCTCTTCTCCCTATTATTATTATCTATTTTCCCATTTTTATTTCGAAATCTACATTATTGTTGTATCTGGGATATGAGTGTTGTGTGTTGCTCTCTATCGATCTGGTTATATCAAAGCGAAACAAATATGTCCATACAATGTAAATCTGAATCGTGTGTTTATGCCTAAGTACCCGTATTGTGTTGTATATTTGGCTATAGAAATAATTTTCTCCCCTTCCCAGCCTGTTTCTAACCCGCTCTCTTTTGCTCACTGTGCGTGCGTGTGTGTAGCCAATAAATAGCTGAAACGTGAAACATAAAACACACATGATTTAATAAAATATTTATTAAAGGCAAGTTAACAAAAACACTCACACAAACCTACAAACACACCATTCAGCCCAACACCGATAACAGTGGAATATAATATCAATTAAATATATTGCAAAGAACTGATGACCGATACTATTGTCGAGGTACTGGCATTAACTTTCGAGTCCACCGGTTCAACTAAAGTCTGTTCGTGTCAGGGAATCAAAACTGAATTTCATTTTTAATGCCTGTATACAAGTATACCACTCTAAAGAATCGATTAATATCAAATCATTGATTGCCATAGTGGACGTGTCGAGATACCAAAACTTACCGATAGACTAAAATTAATATCTGTTCACCAAATAACTGACTAGATGAAACCTGATTAATACTACGATTTCGAATACTATTTTGTTTAGAATCGGTCCTCAAACAAATATCAATCCAAAATACTGCAAATCAAATACAGGTCTTTTAGTCTCGATCACAGAACAACCATTATTTGCTGCATTTGGTAAATAAAAATCAAACGATTATCTGATAAAAAGAGTCGTTAACTGAAGTAATAAACAGCATTCTCCTGAACCAAAAATGGTTTGAGTTTAGAACTTTGGTTAGTTGTACATATGTAAATCTATGAATACCAATACCAATACCAGTCCTAATAACCAAACGAAAAAAAGGCTCAAGTCCTGTTCTCGCTGACTTGTACAGTTGTATAGACGACGAACATATTTCCTCCATAGAATGTAAAAACGAAATTCTGTACAAGTACATATGTGTAAAAATTCAAATGCCACCTTAATTGCATATATTAATAACTACTAAATTAACAAATTAATTGAATTAGACACTACAGCCTGTGACTCAACTTATCAAAGCTCTAGCTACTTGTATTCCTATGTGTCTTATCGTAAAGTGTGTATGTAATATCGATTGTCGTTACATCGTCGTCGTTATCGTTCATTGTTGTGATCGCTCGCTCGCTCGCTCTTATTTCTCTCTGTCTTTACTATATCTCACCACTCTGTATTTCAATCATTCACTGTCCAACCTCCTCTCCCTATTGCTATCTATCCAACTTTGGCGCATCTTATGCGCTAACTTTTCTTATACATACAAGTACTATATACATGTGCCATTCATTCGAACTTTGAGTGTAACTTGAATTGATTTTTAGTTCCTTAAACATTTTAGCATGCTTTGCTTTTCAGTTTTTAAACATATGGTTTACATTTTTTACGGATTATAACTTTAAACATGCCCTAAGTTATATACTACTATATAGAAGTATTTGTATTCGTTTCTCTATTATCTATATCCCCAAGCAGAATACTCGTATCTTACCCGATATGAAAGAACATTATATATCTAAAAAAAATATACATATATATTAATTATAATAATAATAATCATTTCATTTGTCGTCGCCGTCATTGTCACCGTCGTCGTTCATGTTCTCGTTCTCGTTATCGTTATCGTCTTCGTCGCTCTCATTGCTCTCCTCTATCTCGCTCTTTCTTTGTGTGTTTCACTCCAAATATCACCATATTTCTCAGTTTCTCACTTGAGCTGATGATACCAAGTGAATTAGCACACCAGACCACAATCTATATGTCTTACGAGTATATCCATAAAATAAAATACATATTAGCCCTTCCAAGCTTCTTCCCCCTTTGCAAGATATACGTAGAAGAAAAGAAAACCGCCCGTAGGTAAGGAATAATTCTAGAATTTTCTGCTTGGGAATGCCGCGAGTGAATCAATCAATCAAACAACAAAAACAACTTCTAGCTCGTATCTTTTGAGCCAGATGTGGTCGGCTGCATGACCACGCGGCCAAAAGGCACGACTTGCACTGCAATTTTCTGGTCAATTTTATAACACAACAAACTTTATTTTAGGACAGCCAATCAACAACAAACACAACAGAAAGTATATTGAGTCTGAAGTGAAATGGAACAGCAAAGATTTCATGCTACACAACGAAATTTGGAATTGAATTGAATTGAATTGAATTAACTATACTATTTTACAGTTTTGGCTCGAAGTCATGCCCTCTGGGCATCGTTTAATCTACGATTTGTAGAGTTAATACAAAATTTTAATTGCGACATCATGTCGTTGTTTAGCAGAGATTTTAAAGTACTATTCACACACACACACACATACACACACACGTACACGCATTTACACACACACGCACACAAATCAACTCGGACATATGAAGCCAAACAGATAATAAAACAAACAGTGTTTAGCCTCTGATTATGGCTTGAAGCATAAAACACAACCCAAGCGTTAGTCGAAGGCAACATACATACCTATATAAAAACTTTACCTGACCTTTACTTGATGCACATACCGGACGTCTCGCAATATTGTTGCAAAACATGAAAATAAATCAACCCTATTTATATAATTTTTTTTTAATGACAAAAACCCATAATATAAAACAAAAAAATTTAAAAAAAAAAAAAACACACCAAACAAAACATTTCGGTACCAATGCAAAGCAATTTTTCCCATCAATTTTAGGCGTCGTACTCTTCTCATCGGCGGTTTATTTTGCGGAAGCTGGAAGCGAAAATTCCTTCTTCAAGTCCATACCCGATGCATTTTGGTGGGCTGTCGTTACCATGACTACCGTTGGATATGGTGACATGACGTATGAAAATCTATACAATTCTAATTCTTATAACAATTATGTTTTCTCTAATTATGATTATGACTATTTTTTTGTTCGTACTATATGCGCTCTGCGCACTCCAAGCAATTGTGTTTTTATTTTAACATTTTACGTTTTTACTTATTCCGCAAAAAGCAAAAAAAAAAAAAAAAACTAAAAGAAACGAATTACGAAAAAGTTAAAAAAGAAATATTACTGAAAATATGCTAGAAAAAAACAACAAACTAAACCGCTGTTATTATATAATTCTTCATTATAATTAAAATATGCATTTTAACTGTTGTTGTCCTCTTTCTTTGATTCGTTGAGCTGTTTGTTTGTTCGATTGTTTGTCTTATGTTCTTTGGTTGGCTACAGATTTAGTTTAAGTTAAATTAGTCACCACTACCACCTGACTACTGCCTTTTCTGCTAAAATACTATTACATTCCTACCTACTACTATGTGCCTACTTACTACTGCTCTCTTGTGTTTCAACCCTTTTATTTGCGTTTCTGTTATGTTCTCTTGCAAAACAATTAGGTGCTACCAGTAGCTTAGACAAGGGCAACAGTCGGAGCTATTCACACGCCCACAATTTGTCAAATGTTGCCATTGCCTTAAGTGTGAAAAGCACAAAAAAAAGCAAAGAAAAAAAGGAAGAATAGATAAACCTGTCTTACCTGACTATTATTTGTTGTTTTTGTTTTTAACAATATCAATGTAACGTTGTGTCGTTGTTTAGTTCACCAAACCAAAACAAAAGTAACAACAACTATAAAAACTTCACCAAACATTTTAGCAAAGCATACGCCATACCATATACACACATTTCACATATATACGTATGTACACAGGAATACACTATACATACCATACATACATACATACATATGTATCTCACACATGCGTTTCATTTTGCACCAACTCGCCATTCTTTGCAAACAATCAGACACACGCAAGTGCACAGGCAACACATAAGCACACACACACACACACACACACACACAAACACACACAAATACACACACATACGCGTTATATGCGCTTAGTGCAGCGGCTCTAATTGCGTGATGATGCTGCCACGCCCACTTACAAAGTGCCTTAAGTAGCCGAAGCTCAAAGCCGAGCTGAATGCTAGCCGCATTATTTCATTAAAAATGCTCTGAGATTATTTAAAAAAACCGAAAAGGAAAAACAAAAATCAACAACAAAAACTAATCAATTTCTTTTGTTCGGGCACGCCCGTTTTTTACATCCTTAACTGCATGTTGCATGTCCTTTTCCTGCCCAAAAATTTTATCAGCCAACGCAATTCATCCGCTTCGCCATAGCGGACTTGCTAAGAGTCAAACACGTACAGCCCCCCTTCCCCCATTCACCGCTCTAATCATTCAATCTTCTTCCTGATCAAATACACACACACGCGCATACATACATGCACATTAACATACGTGGCACAAGAAAAAAGAAGAAGATATCTCAGCGCTTCATTTGTACAACTAGCAAACAATCCAACTAGCCGATCAAACGCAAATCGCACGCCCGCGCCAACCGCTCCGCCCCACTTACCCCCATCCATAGCCACTCATCCCTCTCTTACCAAGCCCGACAATTACTCAACTCAACTCCACTCAACTCAACTCCACTCAACTCCACTCAACTCCACTCAACTCCACTCCACTCAACTCCACACCACTCAGCTCAGCTCAGCTCAACTCTGTGTAGTCGTTCACTAAAAAGTTTTGTTATACGCACTGCGCGCTGCCGCTAACTCTCTCTCTCGCTCTCCCTTTCTCTCTCTCTTACCTATGCAATGAATATGTCTGTATATAGTACATATAAAGAAACCAACTACGCTACTCGTTTTAAGTGTTGTGCCTCTTTTCGAGTACTCTTTGCTATAATATTATTTAATTATAATATGCAATACTTCTCTAATATATCATACTTATATATATTTTATCAATATACAATATATACCTATATTAATATATTATAATATATCTAATTAAATATATAATACCATATGATTTTCAATCACAAAAAAACCCAAAAAAAAAAAAGACCGAAAAACGAAAATTTTTCTTTACATTTATTATATATTTGTATTTTCATTTTATTTATCGTTCGTTAACATCGCTCGCTCCATCCAAACAAACAAACAAACCAAAAATCTACTTATATATATCTCGAATAATAATAAATAACAAAATTATAAACCAAACAAATTTAATACCGAAAAACGTTTAAAAAACAATGCACCAAACAAAAACCCATCACCCAATTCAAAACAACAAACGCCTATAAACAAAAAAATGCAAATGAACGCACGCAAAATGTAAATTGGAAAACTGCATTGAAACTCGTTTGATATACGAAAATGAAAAAATGCTGAAAATTGATATCGAAATTGAAATTGAATTCGAAACTGAAATTCGAAAATGAAACTGAAATGAAAACGAAAAAAAAATTATTCGACAAACAGACCTGTCGGCGTTTGGGGAAAAATTGTGGGATCACTGTGTGCCATTGCTGGTGTGCTGACAATCGCACTGCCGGTACCGGTTATCGTCAGTAATTTCAATTACTTCTATCACCGCGAAACGGATCAGGAGGAGATGCAGAGCCAAAACTTTAATCATGTTACTAGTTGTCCATATTTGCCAGGTACATTAGGTAAGTTGAAATGTGCACAACCACAAACCACAAGCACAGCCACAATACCAACAACATACATACATATAAATATGCTATACACATATACATGTTAATCGTTATATATACAAGTATATATGAATATAAGTATATATGTATATACAACGATTAACATTCGACGGGACTGCTTTTAAGTACATCCACCAAATACATAGCTACATGCCACACACACACACACACACACACACACACACACACAAATCAACCTACCTACACATAGTATGCAATATATACCTATATATTAACTGTGTATATATATATACACATATATATACATTAACTTAAGCTTAAATTCGTGTTGAATAAAAATAGAAACATTTACGAAGAAAGAAACAAAAAATGTGGGTACAGATTGATGCGGCGGTGTTGCCTTACATTCGCAAATACACGAACGTTCTGCAAAACGCATGCATCATCCGAACATCAGCCATGTTGCCAGCACTGTGTAGATCTGCAAGCCCGCCACTATAATGTGCAGTCCGTAAATCTTACGTCTTAATGTCGCATCGTAGCCCCACCTCAGGCCCACTAGCAAGAAATGTATTGCCAAACAAATAAACCATAATTTTCAAATTCGCAGCTGTTGAATCCAACTCGTAGCTGCAGTGAATAGTTCTTTGGGCCCAGCATCATTTTAGCGCCCCACTATGGGCGCCTTCATGCAATTGTGAATTTTGAATCACACTCATACTTACTCGTATTAGTGAACAGCCGTTTCAGGCCTTTACACAAACAATATTCCTACACCGTTTAACGCTTTAGAGAGTAGCAATACAGGCACTATATACTCGCATAAGCGTGTGGTTGTGCTTGCAACTACTGGTGGCAACAATGAACTGCATGCTACAAATATGTACTACATTGTACAAAGCGAATCGACCTACAACGTACACGTACTGTGTGTTCTGTGTGTAACAACAACAACAACAACAAAACGTTTTTGTAATTAATACATTACAACTGTATGTGTGATCTCCTCTTTCTCTCTCTCTCTCTCTCTCTCTTCTTTTTGTTTCTCTCTTTATTCTGCTAATCGCATTGCAATTTAAAAAACGACTTCCAAAAACGAAAACGAAAATACAAAAAAACCAAATGTACAACAATCACAAATGTGTTCTATATATGAATTATTATGTCAATGTTATAATGCCAACAACAATTCGTCCATTATTCAATCCGAACCGATATTTATCCGAATCACACCCGATATATATATCCTGCCACCAACCACATCCATTGCCACCACTGCCACAACTATTGCACCACACTGCTATTTGTACTGTAACAATTATGTGTACCTACGCTATGAACAACAACAACAACAACAACAAACCAAATACAACTACAACAAACAAATCACAATATATCAATATAATGAAAACAATGAAAACAACAACAACACTAAACAAATGCATAAAACTACAAGTAGGTCAACACTTGAAGAAATCATCGTTGTCTGAGTCCTCATCGGATATGATGGATTTGGATGATGGTGTTGAATCAACGCCGGGATTAACTGAAACACATCCTGGACGTAGTACGGCGGCTCCATTTTTAGGAGCACACACGCAGTCGCAGTCGCAATCGCAGCAGCAACAGCAGCAACAACAACAGCAGCCACCGACGTCACAAACGCCGCCACACCAACAGCAGCAGCAACAACAACAAACGTCGTCCTCGCTCGATAAGCAGCTGCAGCAGCAGCAGCAGCAACAGCTTTACCAGCAGCAGCAGCAGCAGCAGCAACAGCAGCAGCAGCTGCAGCTGCAGAACGGCTACAAGCAGCAGAAGTCCACAATAAGCGTCAGCGGTGCGACAGCAAGTGGTGGCAATAGCCTCACAATGAGACACAATAATGCCTTGGCTGTTAGTATCGAGACCGACGTTTGACTACTGGGTAAGTGTTAGCCAATAGCGACTCAATCCATTTCTTTCTTACACTCCCCAAAACCCAAAAGAAAAACCAAACCGTACAAATAAATAAATAAAGGAATACCCGACACCCAACACTCTACACTCAACACTCAACATCCAATTAGTTGCACTTTATATCTTACTAAGTATCTCCCTCTCTCTCTCTCTCTGCTGCACCACTACTATTACTAGTCATAGCTCTTATGTAGGTAGCTAAGTTGTATATACTTATAAAATATATTCGTAAAATAAGAAAATAGCTAGAATATACATATACGTTAAAGAAGTCCAGATCGTACAGAGCGCCTCATCATACAATAGACTTGTACTTATGATCTTTCAATAAAGTACCGAGCTGCTTCACTCAAGGATTGCGCAGCGTTGGTCCAACAACATAACCTACTCGTACCATATATAGTATACATAGCTCCCTAATTTCCAACTTACTGCACCTACAAATACCAACACACACACACACACACACACACACACACGCGTACTTACATGCTCACACACTCAGACTAAAACTCTTAAAGGGTAACTAAATCAAGAGAATTTTATTAGCATTAACTATTTTCTCTTTTTCTCTCCACGTGACGCGCTCTATATCTGTACACATGTATGTATGGTATGGTATATATCGCATACTTGAAACCACAAATTCCAACAATTTGCATACCAAACCAAATTAAATTCGCATTCGAAACTCATGCCAATGCCAATGCCAATGCCAAACCCAATGGCCAAATGCAGTAAAAAAGACGTTACGTGGTATAAATTTGGCCTTGTCAAGTGTTACGTTGGATGCCAGAAACGACTACAAAAGCTGTTTAAGTTTAATTTAAGTAGAACAAATAACAAACAAATTTAATCTAATGCTAAATTATATTTAATTAAACTAAATTATAAATTTAAAAATAACAGAAGACGAAAAAAACAAAGAAAACCCACAAAAAAAGAAAACGAAAATACCAATAAAAATCGCAGATACATTATACATATAATTTAAATTATTTAATGCATAAAATAATAAAACAAGATCAATAAATACATTTGAAAAACATCGAAACCCAAAAAAAAGAAAAAGCATACATATGTAAAATCAACTTGAACACACATATTTAATATTATTTAATAATATATTGAATGAAACAAATACATACATATATAACACAGCAAAGCATTAGGGCATTAACCCGGCCTATTCATTTCTATCAACAAACTCAAGAGAGAACTTAACCAAGTCATTAAAAACTCTACCTAGCGAGATGAACTCGAAAAAGCACTCAAAACCACACACACACACACACACGAAATTGGGCTCGCACACACCCATAATAACAAAGCCACACACACACACACACAAACTCACACTCACATAGCAACAGCAAAGTAATGCAAGGCATAACAAACTTCCACTGAAACACCAGCTACACAAGCCATGAGACAAAATGAAGGACGAAATGCCATTCCTGGCAATACTCACATCTTTTCCCAATCGACAGACTTTTGCATAATTAAGTATGTGATTAATAATTAGCCTATATAAGCCACATATCAGGTATTTTAGCTATTATCGAATGGGAAACTCGTACCGCCTTTAAAACAACACGAAACGAAAAGATCAGATTGTATTCACAATGTTTCAGGGCATCCTGCTATTGCTAACCAAACATGGATCACAAAATATTGGAATTCCATCAAATTTTCTGCAAACTGGCAAACACTTTCAATCGGTTATTTAAAAATAAGACCTCCAGACAGCCCGGTTCTCCCCTTCCATATCGATAAGATTTCTCTTCAAAATAAATTTGCCAATATACTTGTATATTTCATTTATTTGAAAACTAATGATTGCTGTCACGTTTCTACAATCCAGTCACAATATTGCCTCCATCATATCATCTTCCCTGCCAATACAAGTATGGGTCTATTTTCGTTTTCGCAAACTGCATCCAATCTGTTAGAGACTTCTGCAGAGAATATTCGTACTGAATGCCTGGTTTAAATACTGGCTGGCCTCTCGCACACGATCAAAATCAAAAATTCTGGCATTTGAATATACTTATCTACAAGTATAAGAAAATATTTTGTGTTCACTTTGCTGTTGTTTTTAAGCATTTTGCGCCTTTTGAAGTCGCCGCATAGGAAATCTAAATTCAAAATAATTAAGAGCTATCTTCACTCACACACACAAATACACAAACACACACACACATATAAGTATATACAAACGATCTTGCATATACTTGTAAACAAAAAAATAGTAAAACTGCCGTAATGTTTAACAAATTTCTATAGTTATTTAAATATGAGTATAAAATTGAGAAAATGCTTTTAAGTGTAAATGAAAAAAATGATAACAGCATTATATAAAAACAGTCAAATGTTAATGTATGTATTTGTCAGTAAAAGTAACAGCAACAACAACCATACACCTGCACAGCGACCGACCCTTTCGAGCCACCAGAGTCCCAAAAAATATACATATATATATATTGAAACGGTTTTGTGTATGTAAAAAGAGAGAGAGTCCACCGCAAGGACTAGAAATTAGAATGCCCAGAATGAAAGTGTTAGCACAGCTCTTATTTTCAATGCATGTAGTACACCAAAGATCCATGCAGTCGAGCATACTTATACATATGTATAAATAATTATTGACTGCCCAGCTCCTCCTTGCCCGCAGGCAACTCCCCACCAGCCAAGCAGATATTGCTTATATCAGTTTAACTAAACACACACACACACACACACACACACATACACACATACAGAGACACACCATGAGTAATACTATATATGTGCATAGGCAAGTGTTTGTACTACTATGTATGATATCCTGCAAATTTCAGCTTAAGTCCCCCCGAATTAAAACGAAATAAAAGTACAAATATTCAATAAACAAAAGAAAATTTATTTTAACAAAAGAAATGAATACACGCATAGGTATTGTACACAATAACAAAAACAAAACAAAACAAAACAAAAAGAAGAAGCGGAAAATAAATACTAAAGATTTTTTTTAAACAACACCTAAATGACTGCAATTAAACTGAAAGTAATTAATATTTAAATCACACAACAGCTTAAATACAACAATAAAGAACTAAAGCAGAAAAGATGAGACAAAACCCAGATGCAAAGATTTAACAAAAATAACAAAGCAAACGCTCTTATGATTTTAAAAAATAAAACATATGTATGTATGTGTATATTATGTAAAGACGATGCGTTTAGAAACATATACATACGAGTGTGTACATATGTATGTTGCTGTGTATAACCTGAAACGAACAATTAAGAGAAAGCATAAAGGTTTATAAACAATAAACAACAATTTGCTGCTTGCTGGCAATAAAACATGAAATACATAGTTCAACAACAACAACAACAACAACAAGAACAAAATTCCATTTTATTGGCTGCTTTTCTATGTGTGTGTTGTTGGCATTGTGAAACATATTCAAAATTCGGTAAATGCTCGAACATGCAGCTATTTACCCGCAAAATCTGTCGCTCAATCATCTCCAGCTTCCCACCCCCTCCCCCCACCCCATTTTTTTTCGGTGCCGTTCCGCAAGGTAACAAAACAAACAAATAATGAAACAAGTGAGCAACATCCTAATAAAGAGAGATATTAATAAAGCAAAAAAAAAAAAAACAAAAAACGATATGTCGACTGAAACTGTGCAAATTAGAATTTGCATTGATGTAAAATAAATATACATACATACACGCATATATATATATATATATACATATATATATATATATATATATATATATATATATATATATATATATATATGTATATATATACATACACGAGTAGTACATAAAATAATGTATAAAGGCACACGATTTAGTTATGTATAAAGGGAAAGCGAAAACCATTCAAATGTATACATTTATAAGCTTTGAAAACCGTCCATGCACTCACACACACCCGTACACACATTCATACACACACACACACACACACACACACAGACAGAAACTATTAAAATTTTGTTACAAACAAACTCAATTAAGCAGTCAGCACACAAAGGTAGAGAGGATCAAAACACAATCAGACAAACAGATTTGAAACGCCAAAGCCCCGCATTTCTTGTAATCAAGGGCGTACGCAGGGGGGGCTCCTACAAAAAATGTTGCCAAATAAAGTCGACCATGCGTTCATTATTATGACTTACTGTTTCGCCTTAAAATGGAACAGAGTTGGATTTGTTGAAGCTTTTTCATTGATCATATGAATACATTATTTTTTAAATGCATCGTGCATTATTTAATCAATATTTAAAATTTTGGAACCCGGCCCCCTTTGATAAAAGCTGCGCACGCCGTTGCTTGTAATTATCCTTCATCAGCCCCACGATAGTTTGCTTACAGTGTCAACGCACAACAAATATTTTGGCATTGCATTCGTTGCACTCCAAAGCGCCCCCCACTTAGCCTTTGCCTCTCCGCAAAGCTTCTCCTCAACCTGCCAGGTGATGGAACCTAAATATGCCGCCAACAATGAGCACACTTTTCAGCCAGAGCAGAGCAAGTGCCTTAAGGAACCTTGTGCGTTGGCTAATACCCTCCCTCCTCTCCCCTCTCCCCTCTCCCCTCTCCCCACTCCACTCCCACCAACACATACTTTCCATTCCCATACACACACATACCCGAACATATACATACGATCTTCGATTACTTGTAACTATGTACTTCGACATACACACATTATCCATTGACTATGTATTTCAGTGCCGTCCAGAAGCCAGCAAATGAACTAAACAAAAATGTAAAAAAAAACCAAAAAAAAAAAGAATAAATTAAAGAAATAAATAGTAGAAAATAGAAATACCGCGAGCAAAGCAAACCTACGCTAACGTCTAACAAAATTGAAACAATAACACATTTCATACGCTACAGGACCTGCTCGCCAGTGGGAGACAGCCACCTGTCTTTAAACAGTCACTCACACATAAGAGTGTATCTCATAAAAATGACACTTGTCTTTAAACACTTGCACACACATAAGAGTATGCCCTAAAAATATGCATGAGTAACTCATCTACCTGAGACGCGACCAGCATGATTTATCAGCAACTTCAACATATCTTCCACAAAAATCTACAACCACAACTTACAAGCTAAACGGTCCACACGCAGATTTATTCCGCAGAATTCGTTACTCTACACAGCAGTGGCAAACAAGATCCCAGTTCCTATCTCAGGCAGCTAAGAAATATAATAACTAGATCTCGCTACAGAACCATAAGTAAATCGCACCCATCTGTAAAAGAATGGGACCATGAAGAACACTATATACATATAATGCCAGGGAAGTTGTTCAACTATTGAGCCAAGCCGAGTCTTGTGTGAAGTTCCAATTCACATCTTTCTCTTAGTAAAAGCTTGAGTGCCGAGTTTATTTTGTGACACAAGTCTACAAATTAGCCCCTGACTGTTGCAACCCCAACCATATCAACCCACTTCTAGACTAAACACGGCAATCCCATTTTGGCAGCACCTGTAGCGCAACTAAAAACTATTGTATATAACAACAACAAAAAAACAAAACAAATAACTTTATAAGTATAAACACGACAACTCTGCGTTTATCCAAATAGACTATATATAATAACAAATCAGTGGTATTTTGTACAAAAAACTGAACTACAACCAACAAGCAAATACTAAAAGAGATTTCATTTAACATTTAATATTCTGTACTATCTAGGCGTACCAAACTCTGTATGTATGTATTATAAAATAAGATGAGTCCCAGCACGCAGCCCAGAAAACACAATCACCAAAAACTAAAAACAAAAACCAAAAAACACCAAAAATGAAACACAAAACAAACGAAACATTTTTCTAATTTGTA